TATAGAAAACACTATTAATGACCTTGTTGATAATAAGATAAAAATAGAAGATTTTCCTTTGATAAATGTTTGTATTATTGAAGATATCTTTTACTCTTCAGATAATCGAAGATTATATTGCTTTCAAGAAGCAATACAAAGAGGATTAAATATTAAAAAAATTTCTGTTAAAGTTCGTAGAATTGCTGACTTGAATATAGATTGGAAAATTTTAGGTTCATATAAAATTGTTAAAAATAACAATTTTAAAAATATTATAGTATCTAAATTCGCAAGAAATGGTCGAGTTATTGATAATAAAGGATATTGGGATTTTAAAGAAGAATAGTTTTATTTTTTTATTTTTATATCTGTATATACATATTTTTTTCAAATAAAAATCCAAATATATTTACAATGACAAATACGTAGTTGTAAATTTATTTATATTATATAATCTAAAATTTAAAACAAAGAAATTTATCTAATAATAATTTAAATTATATCATTGTACCTTATAATGAAATTACTAAAAATAGAATTGATCATATGACTATTCTAGATCTTACTAGAAAAATTAATCACATATTGCAGTAAAATTTTATTATAAAACAAAAATATACGAACAATATTTTTTATTAAAAAATGTTAGAACAACAAGAAATAGAAATCCTAAAAGAAAAAATGATAACTTGTTAGCTTATCTTCTAACAAGACTATCTATAATCGTTAAGAAAAAATTTACTACTGAAGAAGTTTGATATATCTTGAATTATCTTGAACAAAATAAAGGAACTTCAAATGAAACTAGAGATGAAAAGAACAAACGATACGCAAAATTTTTTAGAAACATGATTCTACATTTTATGACAGATAGTGAGAAACATCAAGATGCTCTTGAGAATCTTCCATATTTTGAAGATTTGTAAAGATAACTTTATTATGAATATACAAAATAAGATATACAAATATGATAAGATAACAAGATAAGAAAATTAATCATCAAACTCTTCATTGTCATAAATATCTGGAGTAGACATTCTAGTAGAATAACTACTTTCATTTTTCCAACTATCATTATTTACTTGAGAAAAAATAGTAGATAAAGGAACTTTTGAATTAATATAGATATTATCATCTATATTATTTTTATAAAAATAATTATAGAAAATATTACAAGCATTATTAAATGCTTGTCCAAACCAATCACTCAAAAATAATATCATCTCAGATATTTTATGATATTTTTCTTCAAGTTTATATTTTTCTTCTTTTATTTCTAAGAGCTCACATAAAAGATCTTCTTTTTCATCTTTAAGATTCTTGATTATAGTAATATAATCTTTACTAAGTTCTTCATTTTCATTCTTCAAATTTTTGATTTGATTCTTTAAATCATTGAAAATTTTCTCATATTCAGAGTTAATTTCTTCAAATCTTTCATAATTATTAAAAGATATTTTATTTCTCTTAGTTTCTATTGAATCAAAAGAATTTTTTCTTTTGATTCTTCGTTTGTTAGATTTAATTTGAGGATCGTTAAAAATAGTTTCTTTAGACTCGATTTGAATTTGTATAAACATTTAAGGTTATATGTAGTAATTAAGCATTTTATAGCTTTAAGAATTAAGAAAAAAACAAGTTTAAACCTGAAAAATAAAGAAATTTTTTCTCTTGTAAATTGATAGGTTCGTTCGATTATTAATTATAAATAAAATAATTAGTTCTCCATTATCAATATTTTTTTTGTGATATCATATGTCGATCTAGAATTTAAAGTTCTCAGAATGCAAATCTATTCATCCTCAAGAGGATATTCATGATTAATATATTTTTTTATTTATTTTAAATTATTTAATACTGCCTGCTAAGGCAGAGGGCGATTTCACTGCATATTCAACTACCATCTCACCTTTTTTTTTGGCAAAAATGCTGTCATTGTGACAGGCATTTTAGTTGTCGTTAATTCAAACTAGAATTGCATATGATTTACTAATAATAACTCATCTTTGTTTACTTCTTTTCTTCTAAATTAAGAATCGAAGAAAATTCATACGATTTTTTCAGAACCAATCAACAAGAAATCTCTTATCTTTTAATATTTCTAAATAAAGAATATTAAGAATTTTTAGATATCGTATGATTTTTTTAATCTACCAATAATAATTCAAGATATGCAATCAGAATAAGATATAAAAATTTAATTTTTTGAACTGCAAATCTTCATGATTCGTTCATAAAATCTTTCTTACAACTACAAATTCTTACAAATTTTTACAAATCTTTACACAAATTCTTACAAAATTTTATACAAATTTTTACAAATTTATTTTAAATCTTTATATATTTTATAAAACAAAATGCATTATATTTATCATTTTATTATTATATTTATTGTCCTTCTTAGACAATTTATTATTAATAACTTTGAAAAATTCGAAAAAAATTTCTTAGAAATAATTATTTCAAGAAATTTATTTTATATTTTTATGATTATTTATTTAATATTCATAATATTCAATATTGTATATTGGATATATTTAATTAAAAACTATTCACATACAATAATTTATTAATTTATAAAATAATTTTAAGGTAAGATATTTCTTACTTAGTACTGAGATCTTGTACACACTGCTACTAGAACATAATAGTTTGATTCTGAATTTTGATATGTGAATTTGTCAGGATATCAAATGAGGATTAAGCTAATGTTTGAAGAATGTTGTGAATTTTCATAGCATTGTAGTGAAAAGATCTCATAGTTCAAACCTGTTTGTTGAGTGTGGTAAATTTTTATAGCATAATACAGAAGTACTAATATTTTTTATCTTTATAGAATTACAGAATTATATCAAGAATACAAAGAAGATATAATAAAATTATACAACAATGAAGGATTTACTTGTCAAAGTTATGAAAATGAAGAAGATTAAAAATTATAATTCATAGTTAAAAATATTTTTAAAAATAGTAAAACTTTTAGAAAATATATTATAAATATTAATGTAGAAAATTTTATTCTCAAATTTTGTAAATATAGTTCACAAAATATTCATATACTTTATAATTTTTTTATTCGATATAATAAAAATCTTAAAATTTAAACAATTTTTTTTTTAAAAAATCACCCAAGGATACTATTAAAAGTAATTATTAGTTAAAAGTGATTATTTTTATAATAGGTAGATTCTATCTCTTAAATTTATGGTTCCTAAGGGATAGAATCTTAATCTAAAAATAATCAGATTAGGAGGATCTATCTTATGAAATATTTGAAAGAATACAGAAGTTTAAACTAGTAGAAGACTATAGCTAGAACTAGATTTGTATGAATATCGAATAAGGGTATATGCAAACTAAATTGGAATATAGTGCAGCATAGTTAGGTATTATAACATCTATCTGTTAGAAGGTGTTAAAGTAGAACTTATCTGAGTAAGACCTGGGCCTATAATAATAAAGTTTGTAACTAATATCAGCTTGGATGCCTCTTAAAGTAAAGTAGCATAAGTTATAGTTAACTATAAAGAGTAATATTTGCAGTAAATGATATAGGACCAGAAAGTTTAAATAGAGAATCTTCTAAGAGATTTCAGATATAGTAGCTAGTGTAAAACCTTCTGGTAGACTACTTAAAATAGATAATCTAAAATTGTATGTATAGCTAGTTATATTCTCACAATATGTATTACTTCTAAAATTTATGAAATTAATAAAGTTTAGCCAATAGCATTTGTATAAAGTAAAAAAAAAAAAAAAAAATTCTACAGATATTTAATAGTATTTGGATACCTTATTCAAAAGTATTTTTATAACTAAGTATTAGTATTCTCTTAAAATTTCCTATATCTGCTAATTTTTTATAATCAGTTAAACTCAATTGACCTAATGTGCTAGTAATTATAGGTTGCTACCAATAGAAATCAGGTCAGGCAGATAAATAAATTTGCTTGGCACCAACTCATATTTTAAAAATAAAATAAAAAAAACTCGAAGAAAAAATAAATAAAAAATTAGATTAAACAAATAAAAATATTAGAATGTCAATTTCTCTAATACTTAACTATACAAAATGCTAATCTAAATTAAAATCTACAAATATATAAATTAGTAAAATAATATATTATATGATTTCTAAATTAGTTATATACATGTATTTTTTTTCTTAACAAGCTAATTACTAAATAAAATAAATCAACTCCAAAGAGTCTAAACTAGAGTTTTGCTAAGTGCTAGAATAGTATTATATTAAAACATAGTGCTTATACCAAGTATTATATTTTAATTTAGTACTGTTTTAGTACTTGCAAAACTCTATCTACTCACTTCTAATTATTTTTTTTATTATACTGATCATTTTTTCAAAACAATTTCTTGAATCATGATACTAAGACTTATACTTAGCACATTATCTTTTATTTTTTTCTTTTCTTTTAAAAGTTGATTTTCAATAGCTAACAAGTATTTTTTATTTGTAAGTCAGTCTTTCTCTTTGTGCTGAAGTGGATCTATAATATTATTAATGTTATTAGAATCTTCAGAAGATTCTGTAGATATTTTATTTTGCTTTTTAATAAATTGTTATAAAAGCTCTTTAAAAGCTTTACTAGAATTGTTTAAGATTACTAAATTTAAAGCCTTTTTGTATAGCCTAATACCATAGCTATATATTTCTTTTTTTGAATCTAAATTTATAAAAAATTCATTGAATATTTCTTGCTCATGAATATTATTTAATATTTGAAACATGCTGGTTTGAAATTCAGTTTCAACTTAATTAGTGTAATTGATTTTTCTTGAACTTCTTCTTTTAACAAAAGTCCTTCTTTTGAATACTATCTAGAGAGTATAAGTTTAATATTAAACTATGCTTTTTTTAATTAAAGCATTACAGCAAAAAAATATCTACAAACAAATTCTATATAAACTAAATAAAAAAAAGTGTAGTAATGTGTACTATTATTGAATATAACTACATACTGAGATTTATTTGTAATAGTTTAAAGATGATTAACCTCTCATATTTCACTTAAAACATCTTCTAAACAATCTTTCAAAGCCATATTAATTAAAATTTGAGGTTTTTTATAATCATCTTTAAGAAACTCTTTATTATACTGATCTGAATTCTGCATTGTTATACTAATATCCTTAAGTTTATTTATCTAAACTCTATACAACAGGCTTTCTATCATTTGCTTTTATTGTAGTGCTAGTGAATTTGGTATAAGATATTTTTTTAATATTTCATCTATTGAATTAAAAATAGTATTAAAGACCTAGAAGATTTCAGTAGTAGAGTTTATATTCTGAAATTCTTGCTATCGTGAATATTTGGCTTCACCTTTTAGTCTTAATTCAACTCTGAACTGGAGTTAACATAATGATTTTTTTAAATTTGTCTCTAATTTTATATATATTATATAGTTTTTAACAATACTTTAGTATTAGATTAGACTTTAGCTTTAAGTTAAACTTTAGCTTCGAGTTAGGCTTTAGTTTGTGTTAGTCTTTCAAATGTATTTTTTAAATTATATTTAGATTTTTTTTTTGATTAAATTTCAATGATATATATATGCTATATAGTATTCAATAATACCTTAGTATTAAACAATTAAACGCAACTCTTTTCAATAATCACTTAGACCATATATAAAGCAAAACTTTTATTTTTAAAAAACAATAATATAGCCAATATTTTTAAGAAATATACAGTAATCTCAATAGAGAAAACAATACAAGGTATACCTGAACTAGTTTGGTGCTAGTTTTTGTATGAATATAAGCAGTAAAAAGCATAAGACTTGGCTTTGGCAAGGAGTAACTATTGAGGTTTTTCAAAGAAATATATTATTTGTTTTTAAATAATAAAAGAGGAAAAGTTGAAGAAGAAGAAGAAGAAATACCTACTACAGTACTTGAACTAGATCAAGTATCTTATTCTCTTTTGCCACTATAGTTTCTGCAACTACTATCTTCCTTCTCGATTTTTGGTCTTTTTTTCATATAATTTTGAGAATTTGGTATACTCCCATACAAAGATCGATATTATTGACCATTCCTAAATTGGGACAATTTGTTGATACACAATATTGTACAGGAAAACAATAATATGTAGAAATGCTAAACATGTGGGATAACCTGTTTAGATCTAATCACAGAATTAGTACAAACAATGAGATACATACTTTCACTATTGTGTAGTGTAATATTTTTATTAATTTAGAAGAGATTCTTTTTCATAAATTAGATTTCTTTTCTTATTTGTTTTCTTTTTCTTTTTTCTCTTTTATATTCAGATTAGTTTTTTTATCTGTAGCAGATTTTTCTAATTTGAATTTGTGTTTTAGATTATGGCTACTTTAGATCTAAACAA